CGTTAAACTGGGACACAAATAAAAAAATTTTATTTTGGCCTATCTAAAGGCCAAATAAAATGTTTTTTATTTTTTACCAGTTTAACGTTGAATATTATTTATGATTTTAACTTTATACACAAGTGCCAAAATATTATAATTATTTTAACAATGTCATTTAAAATACTTTCACTGGACTTAAATAAAGTTATTTAACACCACTGCCACCTGGCTTTAACAACGTTATTTAATTCTCCTTTCACACCCTTTTAACAAGGTTAAATCTGTTTTTTCAACATTCAGCAGTAATATTCAATTATTTTTGGTGAACATTTTAAATCGGTGTTTAGGCTCATCTTCACTTTACGCCATTTCATTACACGTTTTCATGATATAAATGTTATTTAACCCTATCTTAACTTGACATTAGAGATGTACTGATGCTATTCTCAAGTGATTTCATAAATCAATTTAACTGGATTTTAATTGCTTTCAACAACACCAGTACTCTGTCTTTCATCTGGTTCCGTCAAGATAAATAAACAAATTACCTGAGATAGGTTTATTCCTTCGACTAGAGATTTGCCATGTGATCTCGATTGAGGAAGATGATGCAAATGACAGCGTTATTTTTGGAGGATCAGGTGGATCTTAAGAAAAAACAGTAAAGGTGTGTACAAGAGGATCACATACAAGATATTGTTCTTTTATAGATTGTTTAGACAGAGTATTCAAACCCACTACCATCTTCAAATGTATCTCGCATTACTCTCGTTAGACCTTTTGTATCGGTCTGGTAAATGGAAATTCTAACCACCCCCAAAAAAATAAAAAACAACAGGTACTAAGTTTCGATCACTGGTGCGATCATTTTCAAGTGTAGCTGAGAATGATCGCATCAGTGATCGAAACGTCGTACCTGTTTTTAAAATATTCTTCCTTACTGTAAAAGCAGTAACTTATAATCAAAGAATTTTTATAATCAGTAATTAAAGATTATTTCAGACTTAGCCATTCAGTTAATTTTGATTAAGTTAGGCATCTTCAGGCGGAAGACTTTTGAAACATCGTCCTCTACTCTTGTGTTTCTACGACAGACAGTTGACGTCCATTCAACTAAGTTTCATTATGATATAGTTGTTTACTAATTATAAAGTCACTATTCAAGTGTATCATGGCATCAAGATCTGTTCTATGGTATTCATACTACTTTCGTTTCGAATATTACCATGATTCTAACTTTAGTGTCCTCGAGTTTTTACAAACTGTTGTGGCATGTTTAAAAATTATTACTTTCTAGGCTAAATAAAATATTTCATTTTGATCTTTAGTTCTTTACAAAAGCGTCACGTTTGAATTTTTAACTTGGGAAAAAAATTTAAGAGGTATTACCCAGAATTCCTTATGAAAATGTTATCGATATTATTCTTACCAAACTCTGGTGTTTTAACACTGGTCTCTCTTGAACCTGGTCCAACTCCTTTCTGATTAAAAGCTTGGACTACGACAAGGTAGCTTGTTCCTGGTTGGAGATTATTCAATTCGTACTCGTAAGGCATAAGATGACTGGTTACTTCGACAGATTTATAGATAAAGTCCTGCTCGCTACCAACAACCTTGTAGCCAATGTAGTATCCTTTGACAGTGCGAAAGGATTCTGTGGATACAGGTCTCTGTAAAACACATACTTGATTTAGAATATAGTATGTGAAAATAGTTGTAACAATTGAACGCAATTTAATTTTAGCAAATTCATAACTAATCTATTTTTTTAATGACAGACACCTAAATTATACAAACATTTTAAGATTTGAGAAAATAATAATTAAAAAAAAACACTGGCCATGTCAGTTTGTTTGTAATTAAGCACAAAGCTACTCAATGGGCTATCTGTGCTCTGCCCACCACGAGTATCGAAACCCGGATTCTAGCGTTGTAAGTCCGCAGACATACCGCTGTGCCATTGGGGGGCAGGCCCTGTCATAACGGACGTTATTCGTTTTTCAGCTTTAAAGTGCAGTTCTGTTTACCGATAGAAGTCATTCACATATCTATTATTATGCTAAAGTGAATCTGAGTGTTTGGGCAAACAAACTGACAGCGTCGTTGATTCGTTCTTTCACAAGAAAAATGGGATCTTAATCTTGTTTCGTACCTTTCAATCGTCCGTCTGAAATTTCTTTAGAACAAAACATTGTTATTGATGCAACCATTAGACTAAGAATGAAAATTCTAAACATATTATGACAAAATGTTGAAAAAAAAAACAACAAACATCATTCACTATTTCTGATGAGGAGAGGTTAATGTTATTGTTGCTGTTTTCATTACATTTATTTTTCTTTTCATCATTTTTTTAAGGATATGTTTTCAAATATCATCAAATAGCAACAAACTTGCCTTTGGGTATAAATAAGAAAGACTCGTTACTCTTTGCTGGGTAGATTTTTAACTGTAACTAAGAGTCATGATGATAGGCGGTAAATTATCAAAAGTATATTTAACTTAAACACAATTTTACCGTAACTCAATCAAATTACATTATTTCAGACTTAGCCATTCAGTTAATTTTGATGAAGTTAGGCATGTATTAGTAAAGCCATTGATAATTTAAAAATAAAATTGATTAATTGGTTTACACGCTAGAGAAACTTAGCGCCGGACAAAGCACAAGTTCACCTACTTCCAATTATGGATTCCCATCACTAGTCATGTAGCGTAGCGCCACCTCTAAGCTCGAACTACTGATCAGATGGAGGCAACCGCCAGAGTAAGATTTTTTTTTTTACCATTTTACTTTATTATTATTTATTGTTGTGTATCTTCATCATTACTTTATTTTCAATAGTAAATAACCCAATGTAAATTCGATGGTTTTAATACTATTACTTTTACCCTTGTTTCTGTGAAACTTTAGGCAAAGTAGACATAGTAAGTTTCAGAACTTTAATGAACTGTAACTGCCTGTTGAATGTAAAGATGACGACGTTCCTCCGTAGTCTCCTTTTCTTTCAATAGGTAATTGATGTTCACGAAAGTTCTCAAACCTATGGAGAGTTTGGCACCGGCCTTGGCACAGACTTTCTTCCCAGTAATCAGTGCCTGAAGTGGGACAGGATGATGCAGGATGCCATCCCACTTGTTTTCTGGAGGGCCCAAAACCATCTCTTTACTTTTCAGTAGACTGTAAGCTTCTCAGATGGGAAAGGTTCAATAGACGATACAATAAGTAATTACGGCGGCAAGTGACTTGGGAGATAAATATTTTTTTTCTTAAAATTTCGTGTAAGAGCAAAACAGGAATGAGACACAGTAGTATATGGATGGAGAGAATGAACGCTCTCGCTACGGCTCGGTCGGTGTGACCGAGATCGTAACCACGAAGTAACCATCAGAGTTTTCATACTATAACTTGTAACAGTATACATCTGTTTATACTTAATCTTATTATTTGATTTCCCCTTTAAACTGCGTTTAACTAATAATACTGCCACACAAGTTGCAAATCACTCTGCAAAGTGCAGTTCACGTTATGTAACGTATAGTACTCAGCCTCAAAAATTTCACAAACCATCCCACTTTCGCTTTTCCCCCACTTCAAGCACTGCCTGTAATGATCTTCTCAAGGTACTCCTAGTAATAATATTCAATTAATGATTTTTAAGTAAAATCTGTCCTTTCTCTTTTAATATGCAAAGGAAATTTAACAAAACAAAATTCATGTCTTTTCTAATACATTATAAACATAATATGTTATACATAAATTATTGTAATAAACGTTAAGACGTACGTTATAAATTAATTATTATACATTATACATCAAATGAAATATTATATGCTAGACATTAATAGTTTAATAAATATTAAACTCTATGTTATACATTAAACATGTATAAGATTATCAGTTCTTTAGTTAGCTTATTTGTTAAAGTAACTATCGTTCATAAAAGCTAAAACTACAAATTGTGTATGTATCTGAATTTATGTGTTAAGCCTAATGTTTCCACTTTAAGGCCTAGTTGTATCTTATATTAATTTACGTTGTGTTTTTGTTTATTTGGTCGCGAACTCCTTTCACAGTTTTGAAGTTACCAGTGTCATCCTTGGCAGGTGGACTCGGTGGTATCCTTATTTATAGATAATAGCTCTCTTACCAAGTGGGGCTAAAACACATCTATAATATCACATAGGCATGATGACGGTCTACGATTAGGATATCAGGGTAGCTGAATCCAAACCTGCATCGGATTTTGTGTTCTTCATCACATTCGGAAGCCCGGAGTGTCATTTTTGAAAATGTATTCGTACTCTAACAAGTTAGAAGGATCAAACTTGCCTCACCTGTTCAGGTTCCAAGGGCAGGTGTCCTAATGTGGTTCTGTTTCTGGTACGGACACCCCTTGGGGTAGTTATAGAAGAAATTGGAGATAATAAAGAAGCTTGATTGATACATTAGGGCCTCTGTGAATCATGAGGGGGCCTTTGAACTTTGCCGCTGTGCGCAGATATTTTACAGCAATAATAAGATTGGAAACGTAAAAGTGTGAAATATGAACTGAAGCTATAACTTTTTATTCAAGAATTAATTTTATTAGTTAACATCAATATAAAAAAATTCACTCTATGATTGAATACTCATAAAAAAATAGAAATGAAATCATACCTTCCATGTCACCTTCAGTGCACGTGAATTCACTGGTACTATTTCTACAGCAACTGGGGGACTAGTAGGGGCTACAATTAAGATCAACAAAATGAATTAAAATTATGGTAAGGAAATAATACTATTTTGGTAAAAGCGTATTACGAATTATAAAACTAGTTCTGCAGGATGACACAGTACTATAATAAAAAATATTGACTGAAATAATCGAACTTAATTACAGTAGATTTGGAACAAAACTATTTTTAGGTTTAACTCAGAAATTATGTCAGATGAATTTACAGGTTTGTTAATACACATGAGTTTTCTTGTGATAATTTGTGATCTATTGAAAATAAATGGATACAAATTACTGCAGCATTCGTTGAGGTTATAAATATGTATTAGTATTTTATTATATTTAGCAAATAAAAAGGTTTAGCTGAAACACGCATTTAAGTAAATAAATTAGCACCAATAAAATGTAGATTTTTAAAAATCCAGAAATGTAATAAAACAAATAATTTACCTTCTTCCTCTGTAATAACTGACACATCAGCGCTTGGCAAACTCCGACCGATAGCATTTTCAGCCACTAAGTTAAATAAATAAGTGGTCATTGGCTTGAGATCCCTGATAACTACTTCTCTCTGGTCACCTTGAACAACTATTTTTTGTGGTTTGTTTCTTGTGCTATCTACAAATTGAAAAAACAAATGTGTAATCCTGATATGAAACTTCACATTCATTTTGACCTTTACTGGTTGGAACATAATTATTATACTACTGGATCTGTCCCTTTGCTAACAAGATACGTGTACCACACGCTAACTTTATCTCAGTTGCTTTTTATTAATGACATTTTTACAGCATAAACTAAAACGTGTTTCTTTATCATAGCTGGCCATTTTACAATTTAGTATTTTCAACTTGAACGGCGACTTATGTTACACATGGGCCAAACGACATTGTCGCCCCTAATTTAAAACAATTCACCTGAAGAAGGGCAACTAGTGAGCCACTTGCACAGTTTATCTTAATTAAACAGCAGAATTGACTGCCACAGTTATAAATTGTGGCCAACAGCAGAACACGGTAACCACTAGAAGCGAGTTAGACGTTTGCCACTGAATGTCTATGATATCCGCTTGCGCTTACGGTGTTGGCAAAAGCTTCAAATCGATCGGAGAGGTAATAATACTGATTTGTTTCCTTCAAATATTGGAAGATTTAAAGATATAATGAATATAAAAACCCTCTACAAGCAGGCAGGAACAGTTCATGAAAGGCCAAACTCTACTACGTTTACAACTGGTTAAAATACTCTTGAAACAACAATACGAAAACAAATTTACATAACATCCTACTTGCGAAAAATGAGAGACAAAATCCCAAAACATTCCAACAAAGACGTCAGAGACGTCTATCAAAAGTAATTGAAAAATCTGACAGCTATTTTTCGATACAGAACAAAATCTTGAAAACTATATTTAAAAAAACTTTATGCTTGTGTAAAAATCATTTAGCTTACATTATCAGAAACCTTACCTCCTTCAGTTTTATAAGATAAAATGTACTTCTTGATTGGATTATTTCCAGACGGAGGTTCCCCCCATTCTAGGCTCACGCTTCGCTCATCTACCTTTTTAACTCTGATGTGTTCTGGGGGAGCTGGGTGATCTAAAAAGTTCATACAAGAGCAAAAATAATGCGAATTGTTTAAAATAGTTTAAAACTGTATTTCAACATATAGCAATGCCATGTTAAGTTATTTCAGTATGACCAACGATAAGACACGCAAAGATTTAATCAAAATATAAAACTTTATCGTAACGTAATTCTTAAATATAATGTGGACAACATTGTGTTCAAGGCAATATGTTCAACATGTTAGTCATACGAGAGATTTACTTAACGAAAGTTAATAAGTGTTAGTATTTCATTCCTTAGTCTCATTTATTGGACATCTATAAGAATTCAGGGGAGTTTCAAGCTTCAATAATTTACTTGATGTATCATTTACTTATCTTTTGTTCTAGATTATCTATGTGGACAAAAATAGTACAATTTTGTATTTAGGAATAGCTTTGGACTCCTAAATGTTTAGTATCTGATATTTAGTCTACAGGTGAAATATTTTCCATTTAAGGATTGCTAAAAGTATTAAACGAACAATAGTTTTTTATTGTATGTGAGACCATCCTGGCATCAATAAGTTGACAACGGTTATTCTTTGAGTTACTTGGCTTCTGTATGCCGCATATAAAACAATATTTTGTATTTGATAATTACATAAAACTATTAACTGTTTATAAATATATATAAGACCTACCCAGAACCAATAACTGGATATTGGTCTCGTCTTTTCCCCAACTGTTCTGGACCTCACAAGTATACATCCCGGTATCTCTATTTTCAGCTGATAGGATTGTTAGTTCTGATCTGGAGACGTCATCAAGCATTATATCCTTTATTCGATACCTAAAATTACGAGTCTCCTTCAGGTGATTTACGTATAATAAATATTAATATTATAATTCTCGTTTTTACCACAGGCTGGTTCTGATGGGAAAAGATATTAAAAGCCAAATTCATGTGTCATTTTTCTATATCTATAAAAAAAAAACATTGATAACAAGACAGAGCCATTTTTATTTGATAGGAGCACGTGATTAAGGTCATGTGTTACTTTACCTAATTGTCATATGTTAATATAAATGCACTTTTTTCTTTATGCAATTTTCGAGCTGACATAACTCGCGATTTCATGATTTCATCGCTTGAACTTATTATGCTAAGCTAGTTCAACAATAGGCAGTCTTTGTGGTACTCATTTATTCTCTAAGTAAGGAGATTAATCGCATTTCATAAACATGATGTTCCAGCCGCATCGCCTAATGGATAAGGCATCTGGCTTATAAATGACAATGTTAGTAGATGTGTCTGGTGAAGTCACAGCTTGAAATTATTTTACTGCCAACATGAACATTGCCAAAAAAAGGGTACTACTCACTGCCTGGAAAGTGAGTTATCATCAATAATCAAAATACAGGAAAAAACAGCCTTAGCCAAGAAGATCTATATCAAACAGAAACTATATATAAAAGCACAAAATAAATTAAAGTTCAACAAAAGAAAAACTCCCAATGTCTTGAAAACGGCCCTTGTTATAAGATTCAAATCGATCCCAATGGAAATCTACTCCCCCTTCTTATTTTTCTTCACTCCCGATATCTAATTTACAGCTCACAATACTTCCCTTCACTCATTTATTTTAAACTCCAACCCCATAGCTTTTTCTTCGATTTTTTTCTTCGTGGATGAAGAGGGGGCCTTGTTCCTGAACATCCTTAGGGGAACCTTCCACTCTCAAATTTCTGTTCTCTTTTATTTTCCCGTGTTGCCCTTAAGACTATTTCTTTCGTCGTCTATCGTGCCCAGTATTATGATCTTGATTACGACACCGCAATTTCCATCGTAACAAGTTTCTGCAAAGAATATACACCTAGAAACTCTTACCACAGACCATCCACTGAATGTTGTATGTAGGCATCGGTTTCGAGGTCGCGTTTAAATAGAACAAATGTGCAAATTCCATTGGAGCTGTATTGGGTGACTGACATGTATGTAATGGAATGGGATTGGTGTAATCAGCATAAGCGTTGAATTTCGCACAATTCTACCCGAGGGAAGTCAGATTATTAACACATCCGTTACCAACTCTCGGACTACTCTTGTTAGAACTAACAGTGAAATTTGACCGTCAATATTTTAATGCGCCTACAGCTCCAAAGTCCTGAGGGCGATTTTTATATGGTAACGGGACGTGAACGACGGAACCATAACTCTACAGTACAACAAATTAACCACTGAATCGTGTTTGATCTGACTGCTGTGATTCCAGTTTCTTCAGTCACCTGTCTAATGAAAATAAACGACTATTTTGAGATGTGGCTGAAAAATTCACACCTTCATCAGCTTCAAATCCTCGTTTAATATCTTATTAACGATAAAAGAAGGTATGCCCAACTTCTTTACGTATTGGATCAGAAGATTCTCGTTCGTAACCATATCTTTTATTTTGCGGATGAGACATTGCTCAGGTCGGTTTGAGGTGTGGTTGGTTTTGGAACCAATTTCCGTTTTAAACAATCTATTGTGTTTTTATGGAAAACAGTCAAGACTAATTTCTTGGAAATACTGCCTACTTTAACCTGCATCGTCTATAAATCTCGCTATAGACATTTTCTTCCTCGAAAAGGGCTATGACACATTTCTAGAGCTATGGGTATGTTGTGACGACATTGTACTGTGGAACAGTTTAGAATTCGTTGTAAACCAAATATATAAATTTTAAATATGTTAACTGTAATGCCACGGATTGACATGCCAAATGCAATAACATATATAAGTCGTTCGTATAATATGTGACTAACTTTCTGTATGTCAAAGATAAGCCATTGTTCCAGTAAAAAATTATCATGTGGACAATAAACCATCTAATGTATATAATTTAATAAAATAAAGTAATGAGAAAGGTTAATATTGACAATTTAACCTAAACTGATGAATTAAAACATCTAAAAAAGTAAAGTTTCAATAATGGAGAAATCAAAGGTTATTTTAGTAAGAATAATAATAAACGGAAACACCCTAAAAAAACAAAACTTATAATTTAAGTATAGAAATAAAGAAAAGACTTGACCAGACTAGCAATGAGAGCATGCAAGATAAGCCAAGTCATATACATACATACACAATTTGTGATGTCATCTTTTGAATATATCATGTAATCTATAACTATTCTCAGGAGAATCAAACAAACAATACCAAAGAAAGTAATAGTTATATACAAATACGAAGTTACCTGATAACCCTAAAACAACACACATCAAAAATCGGTGATCGTTATGATATGATATGATATTTTAAGTTGATGGCTTCCCTGCACAGCTTCCGGGTTTTACATTTCCGTTTCTTTGCTGGAAATTACAAATGTTTTAACAACATATCTTCGTGTAACGTAAGTGGTGTTAAAATGAGAGAAAACTAAACAAGCATCTCAACGTAGGTCGTTTACGTTAATCCAGGGAAGGTTTTACTGTTATCTTACTTTGTACTGCTATTGCTTTAAAGTTTCCTAATGCCTGTTTAAGGTTTGCTAGGCGACAGAATTGTTTTAGGTTGGAGCTGCTCTCCTGCCTATGAGGTGAATGTTGATCTTATGAAAGTCCTGTTCCTGTTCATTTCCTCACTTGGAGTTGCATCCCGTTCTCTATTGCCTTTTAACTCACAAACAGCTGGAGACTAGCAAATAAGTTAATAATTCAGTTAAAACGACTTCATATATCTTAATTTTGTTCGTATTCCCAGTCTTACAGGTGTACTTATCATCAAGATGACGAATAAAAGACTTTTTTCAACTAGTTAAATCCAACTGTCGTAACCTTAATTGCAAATTAAATAATCATCATTTACACATTGGTGTAATTTCAAGAAAAGGTGTCCTTTTAGGCAAGGTACTCCACAACTTTTGTTTGTTTGTTTGTTATGAATTTCG